TTACCATTTTTAAAATATTAATATTGTTCACCTGTAAAATCTAATTTCCTGATAGTTTCTGGTTCGGTTTTGTAATATAATTTATTTACAATAAACCAAATTGAGTAAGTTTACTAATACGGCACAGACATCCCAGCAAGACTGAACTACTATGGCCCCTGGAAAACAACATAGAAAAGTGGAAATGACTATAATGATCAACAGTAAAAATAATAGTAATAAATATAAATAAATAAAAATAAATCAACAATCAAGGAAAATGAGAATTAAGATAAAAATGACAGCAAATAAAATCAGAAATAAAAATGAGAGAGTTAAAGTGGACTTAGAAGACAGATGGGAGTAGAGCGGCCTTGTTCCCAGCATTAGTCAAGGGGGATTCATGGCTTCCCTAAATTTTAACAATAAAAGAATATAATCATTTAATTGCACAGTTACTCAGTAGTTTGTTCTATGTCCTTACTAGCTCCATATCAGTCCTTATTCCATGAAAATGGGTGAAGCCCCAGTCCGGGGCAGCCCGGTTTTACCCCGCCATTTCCCGTGCCCGAGCCCCTCCAGAGCCCGGTTTTACCATAGATTGTATTACTAAGTAACATTGCATGAGTAACATGATTGCTCCAACTTCAGTACTGCCGGAAAAAGCCAAAAATGAGAAGTACTTGACTGCTTTATTTTTCTTGTTGTCAGGAAGCAAGTATGAAGTATAAAATAAGTCATACAAGCAAGTATAAAATCAGTATAAAAATAATAAATCCACAATATTGTGGTGCGTGGGCGTGTTTATAGAGATTAACATTCTTTGCCCACGCAAATCAAAACATTGAAAACATGAGTTGACATTAGGCATGGCACCAGACTCTTATTCGGTAAATTAGAGTCTGGCCAGCAAGACTACCAATCTGGCTGGGCTGGGCTTGGGTGACTTATTTGCAGAGGACTGAAGCTTCTTTAGAGGACTTAAGAATCTGAGCCACGATTCCAAAAAGGTAGGAGTATTTTTGTTTGTTGCCTTATACATAGTACACATCATTAAAAAGCAAGCTGTAAATTTGAAATAATTTTGTAACTGCACGTCCTGACTCCGTTCTTCCCGCGGGAGGGTCCCGGGGCCCGGCCTGCCTGACTCATGACTGAAGGTTAACTGCAATTTTACATGGATAGTGAGCATGCATGAGTGTAAAGAGAGCAGTTAGAATTATGCAGCTCAGAAAAGCTCTGAGATGGAGCTTTTAGTGGGCCTGCGGTTATTTTCTCCAAAATCGAACAAAAGCCCCGTCCAGTCTCTTGTAGCCGCCCCTCCGTCAGGGAATTTGGCCAAACTTAACTGAGAAGAAGAAAATCTTCATTTTTACATTTTCTGATGCATATGCATGTATGGTACTTAGACTTATGTTGTGTAGAAAGTTTGATGTGATTGTGATCAAGTTTAAGCTAATGAGTTTCTCCAAAATCTGACTAACCTCCCCGCACTATAGTACAGAGATTTTGGCCAAATTTCCCCAAAATTGAAAAGGAGAGAATTTTCCATTTTATCACATTTTCTAGTACTTATGTTGTGTTAAAGTTTGAGGTGATTAAAAGTTGGTCATTTATTTTTCATAAATTTTTAATTGTGACCCGATTTGACAAAACAGGCTATCAATAATCTGTGAGAATTATCAATTAGAGATAAGGCTACTCAAAGTTGTAACAATAGTACCTTATCAAAACTGATATTTTATCAAAAATGTATTGTACTAGACAATGTAAAACCATAGATACTATATACCCCTGGATATGAAACACGGCCCGACCGGATGTTCTGAGGCTTGTTTCACAGGAAATACGTCATAATATTACGTTTTCATTCAGAATAAAAATAAAACAATGATAAAAAGTATTATTATTGCTAATAAAAGTGTGATTTTATGTACAATAATACAATAAAACTTGACATTAATCATGCATTATAATTGCTGAAACTTTCCTTTTCTTTTAGTATATGCAGTCTACCAATGCATGACTTTCCCATCTCTTGTCACTTAAAAATGATGATTTTGACAACACAATTGCACCAAAACTAAAAATACACTCCTTTTGAGAATAGGCCCACTACAACTACCTATTCTCAAGCTACAAAACCATATAGAAAAAGTTCCAATTAAGTCAAGTATTACAAAGAAAAATTGGCTAGAAAGGTGGGGCTTGAAAAACCAAGATTTATATAGAAAATAACAGCTCTTTTACTTAACACAAACTCTAAATAATAACCCCACTACAACTAGTAAACAATAACCTATCAGTACAATAAAAAATGTTGGCCTAATTCAACAGAGTTAAGCTAAAAAAGTGGCTTGAGTGAAATGTACACAACAAGTAGGCTATGACATCCATTGTAGAACTAAAATATGCACTCAAACTATCGTTTATGAACATTATTTCAATATATAAAGGCTTTGCAAAGTCCTCTGAGGGATCATTCAGCTACTTTAACAAACGAATAGGCTACTGTGATTGTTTTACTTACCCTGGCAGCCATGAATGCAGCGAAACAAGGGTGAGGACAGCCGGATGTGACGTTTATGACGTTTCCTTATGGGATTTTATATGTGTGCATAGAGGAGTTTCGTATCCAGGAGTATATAGTATCTATGGTAAAACATTGAAGGGGCGAGCCTAAGCAAGTAAAGCAATGTACATTAGATATTGACAGACTAACAATACTCATGACAGTGCAACTTAAGCAGCTCAGAACTTGATTGAGTGCAGTGTAGTTCTTGACCTACCTTGGTAGTCAAATCAAGTTTAGCATTTGGAAAGCATTAAAGATAGCTAGAAAAAGTCACTGCACAAATGATATGGCTAGATAGGCAACTGTAGCAATGTAGTCCAAGTTAGTTCAGGCTGTGACAGACATTCAAAGTCATTCACATCAATAAAGATGGCATAGCTATCTGCTTTCTTGACATTCCTTGCAGCATTTGGACAGTAGTATGCGAGTACAGTAAGCCGAGTTATCAGCAAGAACAAGTTTAATAGTTACTTTATTCCATCTATAACCTTGCCTGGCTGTTGGAGAAGCCTTTGGACAGAATTTCTGTCTTATTTTGCTGCTAAAAACTCATGACTTTCCCCGTGTGTTGGTCACCATTTTATTTCATTGTGGCTACACCCACTTTTAATGAAATATTGAAAAACTGAATTTATATACCCTTTTCAATGCATAGCATCTACCGTATTACGCATAAATAGGGGTGACGTACGTTTACAAACAGGCAAACAGACAAACGAACAAACAGACAAACAAACAAACAAACATATGCGTGTCGTTTATGTGGGGCTCGCTCAGGCTCGCTCCAATGAAGAATTTCCTTTTACCATATACTGGTTTATTTTTGCGGTGAAAAATTTCACAAATCTTGGTATTCTAATATTTTGCGATATTAATTTTGCGATTAGTTTGCAGACAGCACCACATGGCAATGAAATGCAGAATTTTGTGGTGGAAAAATTTTACGACTGAGCAAGAAACCACAAAATTTGTGAAAATATTTCACCGCAAAAATAAACTGGTATTGGTACCTTAGTGTGGGTATTAATTGCGCTCTTAAATTTTAGCGTTTTTAGGGGACCCTGATTTAGCGAAATGTAATATTAGCGAAAATAGGAAGAAAATCAGTGGTAAAATCCCCATTCAATAGTATAACACTACTCAAGAAGCCCAATCTATACATTTAAGAGCAGAATACTTAATAGGTTCACCCTATTTACTGTTATCTTGTTACAGATCTTGCCTATCTTGTGTAGAATCTACTTGTTTACACAACTACATATATAAATAACTATTATTAGCGGCTGGTTGAATTAGCATTTTTAAGTACACTCACTAAAAACATTAAAATTAAGTGTTGCAATTAATACCCACCCTAAGGTATTCAGTTGATACCATATTTGCCCTCAATGAGTTAAGAAAGGTATTTTACAGACCTTTCTTTTTGTGGTGCACCATGTAAATAATGCAAGATAACTGGATAAAAATTTTTGTAACTCAATTACATCCATTTAGAATTCTTTTTGCATAAAATGATCCTAACTCAGCACTAGATACGTGAAATGACATGGGACAAAGACCAAAAGGAAGGAAAAAATAAATCTCAATTTTCAATTTTCGAGCATTTAGCCTCAATTTCTCTTATTGGGTCACAATTTTTAAAGTTACTCAAAAATCATCTTTGTATGATAATAGAATATATATTTGTTACCTTAAAAAAATTTTTTTGTTAAACTTTTTACATTAATTCCTTTACATTTTGTGACATGGTCTGGAGCCCTGCACATTACATTTTGATTAAGGGCCCATATTTGAAAAGCCTCCCATTTTTAGCAATTTATTGCCAAAGCCCCCTGGCCAAATTTTTATGTGGTCTGAACTTCTTTTTATAGGTCTTCACTGTGTAATCCTTGCTACGCATAATAACATTAGCATAATCTTAGTCTTACAAGCACGTAGTGTCTATTTCTAGTTACATTAGTTATAAACTTAAAATTTTATGTAACTATAATTAATATGCAGGCAGTCCTAAGCTGCTAGCCACATGATTTAACTTGTCTAGTTCATTTTATTTCGGTTTAAACAAGAGTACTCTTGGTTTAAATAATGCTATAGCTTCTATGTAGTAAGAATCTGGAGGGAGGTGTAGATTGGCTAGAGTCCCTGTAGGCCCCACTTTGAATCAGGAAAAATGATACAAATGGACAATTGCCTACTATAAGCATAGTAATTAATCAGTATTAGCTAAAGATTATAAGTATTAATGTTTTTGGGCTAAATTGAAATTATTTATTTTCCAATAATGAGCCCCCACTTTTAGATTAGTGCCTGTCTGTAACATCAGAAGTGTAATTCCTGAAAATGCATTTATTAAAAATATTAAAAAACAATTATTTTAGAAGTTTCATAAATAATAGTCTATTTTAAATTTGATGCTTATATAATACAATAGACAAATAATGGTCATTTTCATTTTTGTGGGATCAATGCATCAACTGTATTTGTTATTCATTGTTAATCAGTTCCTGTTTCAACCCTTCCCCCTTTAATTATAAATAAATTTGGTCTGACTGTTTCTTAGCTCCTGAAGTAAATTTTGCAATGTCTGTGCTCCTGAGAATATTGATTGCAGTGACTTTCAGCAGCTGTGTCATTAAGCAAGCCCTGGGTAAGAATTACAAGTACTATATAGCTTAAATAAAATTAATGTTATAAAACAAGCACTGCTTGCTTTTATAAGCACTATAGTATTGCCATAATGGTGTACTTACATGTAGATTTATACTTACAGTGTGATGGATCTACTTCGTAAAAATTAATATGATTATTGTAAATGATTTTCAAGACTATAAACTTGTTAACATAATATTATCTGTTCTTGTATCATATTTACAGTATAACTAACTTTGCAGTCAGCTTTACAGAATAATTTGTATTTAGCTATTTTGGATTTTTAAAAAATAAAAAAGTTTTGCTACATTACGACTAGCTTATTCTATAACAATCATTTCATATCTAAAAGTTGATTTGTCCATATTACGTTTAATAGGTGATTGTGACCTTGGAGCACTTCAGCTTGTCAATGGCAGTTCAATTTTTGAAGGGCGTGTGGAGATATGCTATAATAACACTTGGGGAACAATTTGTGATGATAACTGGAGTGATGCTAATGCTCAGGTTGTATGTAGACAGCTTGGATTCTCTACTATAGGTTTGTGTATTTACATGTAAATGTGCATATGTAAACACATCACTTTTATTCTAAGATATAAAGAGATACTGCTCTCATTAACATAATGTTCATCTCATGGTCACATGTGTTAGCTAACAAAAGTTTATAATGTAGATCTCAGAAGTATAATGGTAGATCTAATACTAAAAAAAATAATGTGTAAAATATCATTTCTAAAACCTATTCGATGTTATTGATCCTTCTGTTAGTTTATAAATGGCATATATACAAATGTATAAAATACAAAAGTCAAAAAACATGTTTTCATCATCTTTATATGTAATGGGCTATACTTTGAGATGGCAAATGTTATTGTTATAATGCTATAGTGGAAACACAGCTAAAATGTGTTTTTATAAACCAATAGAAATGTACCATACTTTTGTAATTTAGCCACTAATGAAACATCAAACATATTTTCACGTGCAGTTCTGACAACTTAAAGTGTAAGTGCAGTGATTTTTAGGGTATTTATTTTATGGTCTTAATATGATTGCCTGACCATAGTAATGATGTGTTCCAACTCCCATTGTCTAAAAAAATTATTCACTGAGATATGAGCCTTCAAAGATGCACTTTTTGCTTCCTGCCAATTTACTTCCTGTCAGTGGGTGTGGCTAAACGTGACGTCATAAGAGGCATTTATGCAGATAACTCCATTCCTTTATAGGGGGAAATAATCCTTTATTCTCATGCCTAGTAATGTAATAGTAGCAATTTAAAGATTGGGATCATTAGCTTTCATTATTCTAAGCATGCAACTGCCAAAAAAGTCATAATACTACACTTTAGTGAATCATCTTATTCGCTATTTTGAGTCTTTTTTCTGGCAGTTGCATGCTTA